CTATATTTAGACCTTTGTTCATTCCCTTATAACATACTCCAGTCCTGGAGGGTTTCAGCCCTACAGAAATGTGTGTTTCTCCCTTCTAACACACCAGATTCAGCCCATGAGGAGCTGGAGTCTGAAACCTCTATCCTAGAGAATAGCAACCTTCGCTGTGCACAGGACTTCAGGCATAATGAATTACACAGCCCTCAGTGAAGATTCGCTCTGTCACCTCCCAATCAGTAAGATGGAAAAGGTGTGAGGAAGTGAAATAAAAAAGGAGGGATCTTCGTTTCTCACTTTCTTGCCCTTCCCTTTTGTTTTATCCCTTAGTTCTGAGGTTAGCTTTCAAATTGCTCACAGTGTCCTCCTCCTTTTCTTTACCCCATTTTGTATTGTTTTGTTTTCCCATTTCACTTCTCTTACCTCTCTTATCACTCTCTCATCATATTTCACTTAGCTCAATGTCTCTAAAAATCAATTATACTAACCAATTAACAAATCACCTAACCACTTAGCAACTGATTATCCAATCCACCATACTGTGCAGCACTCAATTATACACTTAACCAATTACTTACTAATTAATATAAATGCCAAATATTACCTGGCATCTGCTAGCTGAGCATTTTATCTTCTCCCTTTCCCCAGGCTGTTGTGCCAGTCTTTGTGTGTTTATTGTCTGTCTCTCTGTCTCTCTGTCTGTCTGTGTCGGTGTTGTCTGTTTTTCAGCGTTGTTCAAATGTTTTAATATCTCTGTCTCTGCTTGTCTCACTTTGCTTGCTTCGTATATGTATTTAAAATTGTATGGGTATGTCTGTGTGTCTTCATTGGTTTAATAAGTGAATTCATAAACAAAAAAAATCCTGCTACATTGAGAAGACATTTTCGATCAACCTTTAATATCCATGTTGGTAGCTAAAACGTGTTGACAGACAGACAACGAATGAGTTTCTACTGCGAAACTCGGTCCGAATAAGCCGCTTGTGTCCCAGCACCCCTGTGCTGAGCGTGGACTTAGGCCCCGTCCTAATCTCTTTAGACTGTTGGGGTCCACCTAGTGACGTGGATGAATTCTTACCATCTGATCTGATATTTTCAAATTGAATATCTAGATTTTTCATTTCTCTCTTCTTTCCTCGTCTCCCCACCATTCTAAAGATGCACATCGTCCCCTGACTGTAATATCCCACCTTTGCTTGTCCGTCCGTCCGCCCAACTATGTGTCTGTCCCTATTCTGTGGCTTTGAGGTTTTCTATTTGTTTACTGTGTCTCTTTGTTTCTTCAAGACTTCACTCTTTCTCTATAGCTTTCTTATTGTTTCCCTCTATGTTTGCGTTTAGATTTCACTCTTGCTCTATCACTCTCTTTCCAGCTCTCTCTAATCTGAGAAAAGAAAATGTTTCATCCAGGCCTTTCTTTTTCTTTGTCGAACTAATCTCCAATCTTGTTTCTCTCTCCTTCTGCTCTTTTTTTCCAGCCTACACTCTATTTTGCTTAACTTTCTGTATGCTCTTGGTTTGGTTTACTTTTTTTATTTGTAGTTTCTCTCTTTCCTTTGTTTATTCTTTATCTAACTGACCGGATTAAGCGTTTCTTGTGTTTCCAGGCTTCTTGCTCTCCTTCCTTCTCTCGCTCTTATTCCTCTCTTGCAGCTCTTCTCTTCTGATAACTCAGCACTGGTGTAGTCGTTGTCTCTCTTCTGGTTTCATTTGACTCTGTAGTCTGTAGTCATGCTAATGATATGCTGCATCTCTTTTCTGACAGAGAACTTTCTCTTTTTCCTGTCTCTCTCTTTCCTGCAGTTGCTGTCTGAATTGTCCACCCATTGTTTTGTTGCTGTTGCTTTTTTCTGTGATCAATCCATCTGTCTCACTTTCCCCCTGCCTCTCTATCTGTTGCTGTCTTTCACTGTTACTGAACACCCATCATTACCATTATCTCTTACTATGCATCAACCAGTCTGTCCATTTGTTTTAAATGTGGTCTCTCTCTCTCTCTCTCTCTCTCTCTCTCTCTCTCTCATGGGCTCTGTCTGTCTCTCTCTATCTCTCTCATTTGCACTGTTTCATGTCATTAGTTTTTTGCAGGGTTTTGCAGGCTCTGTTCACTAGTTCAGTAAGACTGCACTGTAAGTGAGTGTTCTACCTTGGCTTCTCTCTCGCCTGTAAGAAACAGACCACTCCATATTTATACTACTTATTCTAGCAGCTTCACACCTGCTGTAAGGGAATAATGCATTCTTACTGTTTGACAGGTCTCATCTCTTTGTAGTTTGCTGTCTGCACATCTTTGTGTGATGTCCGTCAGCCTTCTTGTTCCTTTATTTACTCATGGTCCAAAATGAACATTTGACTGTAAAGTCTTTAATCTGTTTGTATATCCGATGATGTGTGTTGCGTGGTTGGATTTCGTTAAATGCCTGTTTGTGGTAAAAATGTTTTTTTGTTAATTGCATTTATAATTTGATCATGCTTTGTACTTTAATGGTTGTCTGTGAGTATAAGGATGTAACAAAGGTGCTTGCTGCAATCTAGTTTGTTTTAAAAGTTTAATTTGCAGTTTTTGGATTTGGATTTCACTCATTATTTGTATTATTGCATTTTTTTTTTTTTTTTTCGAGCATAATCTTGTTAAGATGTCCATCACATGCTTGCTGTCTGAACCGTGTGTAGCTCGGAGAGAAAATATTGCATATTATATCATTTTTTAGAAGAAATCTGTCTAAAGTTGTAATTTGTCTATATTGGGTTTGTTCGGTGAGTGAACACTTTGAGCTAGTGTGGGATAAAACTGGGATACTCGCATGAAAAGAGAATCTTCCTCGTATGGAAAGTCACTCTCTCTCTCTTTCTTTCTGTATCTCTCCTTCTTTATTTCTACCTGTCTCTTTGCAGTAGGAATATGGGTAATAAGCCAGCAAACAGTCCTAAGGGTCAGCCACCAGATGCTGATGGACACTCCTCCGTCTCTGACCTTGCTAACTCACTCACTGGAGACATGGTGATGGTAAGATGGTGGGCTGTAGATTGTGTGTTTCTTACTTTACTCTGGTTGTCAGAGCTTTGACTGTGAGGCGTTAAGTTTGTCCACTTAAACCCAGAGCCTTTTATTGTCCATGTATACTGCCACAGAGTTTCAAAAGAGGGGTGTGTGTGTGTGTATGTGTGTGTGTGTGTGTATGTGTGGATGACCAATCCCACAGATACTATCACTGCTGTTTTTCAATTCAAAATAGCTATTGAGTTAATCTACTTCAGTTACACCTTAATTACACAGTGTTTGTCTCAAAGCACTCTATCCTAACTGACGTAATTACTGTTTACTGCACATCTCTGATTACATAAATGACTCTGTGTGTGTGTGTTGTGTGGTTTTTCGCTTCAGTTGTCTCCTGGCTCGGATGAGGATCATGAAGGTCCAATCAGTGAGAAGCTGGGGAGGATTCAGTTCAGTGTTGGCTACAGCTTCCAGGACTCCACTCTCACGGTCAAAATACTAAAAGGTCAAGACCTGCCTGCTAAAGATTTCTCTGGCACCTCTGACCCCTTTGTAAAAATCTACCTTCTGCCTGACAAAAAGCACAAACTGGAGACCAAAGTTAAGAGGAAGAACCTCAATCCTCACTGGAACGAGACTTTCCTGTTTGAAGGTTTGTCATTTATATTCCTGTCATTTCTGTTCACAAGTGTTCCTGTCGAGCCTCATGTTGCACACAGTAGAAGGACATGTTTGTTTATGGGTCACACAGATTTTGTCTGGCTTATGAACATACCTAAGTCAGAATTCAGGAAACTATGCCAGTACCAGTACTGTACCAATATGTAAGGAATAACACCTGACAGTAATGAAAATAACGGCATGGTTACTTTATAACAGCTCAGTCTGGAGTGTGTTATTCCACTTATACCACAGTATAAGCCAACAATTGCAATGAATAACATGTCACACATTTTAATGGTATATGGTTAGATTTAATGTAGTAGAATGTCCTGTTCTCACCTACGTTATAGATGCGATAACTGGCCATTCCCCTCACCAGCCTCTCTCTCTCTCTCTCCCTCTCTCTCAAAAAAATGCAGCCTGTCATTTTACCGAGAAACTGTAAAACTCCTGTAAACTCCTCTGTCCTGAAGACTTTCCTAGTACTTCCATAATTGTTAAATAAATGTCTCCTAAAAATATCACCACATCAACAATTATATCTTCTACTTTGTTAAAAAGCATTTTTTAAGCAGTATCTCTGGATTAACACTACATTTCTATTCTCAAAGCACATGAAGCAGCTACCAGCACTAGAGTGCACAAGTTCTACTTCCAGAGTGGTTACTTTCTGAACTTTTGCTTGTTTCCTTGCTAAGAAAGGATTGAAGTGAGGAGCAGACACAGCAATGGTGATCTCTAGAAAGAAAAACATTGTCTCCTTGGCTGCATTGTCAGGGCAGGAACAGAAACAGGCTGAGCAGCTGAGACTTCTGCCCTGTGGAAAAGGAAGAGTACCACATTGGAACACAGATTAGAGGACCTGGCAGTGGGCATGGGATAAATAAAGAGCTGTTAGCAACAATGCAACTACATAATGAAATGCAGAGCTCGGGGGACTTAGTAAAGCTGACCTGCATACAGAGACAGACCTTGATGTACTTTCAGTGGCTGTGTGTCATTCTCGAAATTCGAAGCCCACTTTGAGTGCATTAGCCACTGGGGGGTCTGATGAACACAGTGTAAGGAAGGAGTGTGACTCAGCAGCGTAAGCAACAAATGTACTGCAAGCTGGATTTATGGCTGCCTTGGCGAAATTAAAGTTAGATCCTCCACCCAACACAACTGATCAGATGCCTAATCTATTGTACCAGTTTCATTCAAGAGCTCTTATGCATGCTCAAGAGAGCAGTGATGCTGTGACCTGATAAAAGAGCACTACAGCTAGCTCAAATGACTTGCATTGATTCAACCGATTCTACCACTGAATTAACTGACACTAAAAGATTGCATTGAATCAATGCAAGCTAGTTGCAGTGTCTTAGTGGTTAAGGCTTTGAATTACAGAGCAGAAGGTCTTGTGTTCAAATCCCAGCACTGCCAAACTGCTATGGTTGGGTCCTTGAGCAAGACCCTTAACCTTCTGCTTTCTTGTATCAGTTGAAAGTCGCTATCTTAAGAAGTATCAGGCAAATGTACTGGATTAGGTGGTATTTTATACTATGTAAGATATTATAGTACTTTACTGTAAATACACTCACGGAACACTTTATTAGGAACGCCTGTACACCTACACGTTCATACAGTTATCTAAACAGCCAATTGTGTGGCAGCAGTGCAATGCATAAAATCATGCAGATACAGACCAGCAGCTTCGGGTAATGTTCACATCAACCATCTGAATGGGGAAAAAATGTGATCTCAGTGATTTTGACTGTGGCATGGTTATGGTGCCAGATGGGCTGCTTTGAGTATTTCAGAAACTGCTGATCTCCTGGGTTTTTCATACACAGCAATCTCTAGAGTTTACTCAGAATGGTGCAATAAAGAAAAAATATCCAGTGAGCAGCAGTTCTGTGGATGGAAATGCCTTGTTGATGAGAGAGGTCAACGAAGAATGGCGAGATTGGTTCGAGCTGACAGAAAGGCTACAGTAACTCAGATAACCACTCTGTATAATTGTGGTGAGCAGAAAAGCATCTCAAAATGCACAACATGTAAAACCTTGAGGAGGATGAGCTACAACAGTGGAAGACCACGTTGGGTTCCACTTCTGTCAGCCAAGAACAGAAAGCTGAGGCTGCAGTGGGCACAGGCTCACCAAAACTGGACAGTTGAAGACTGGACAAACGTAGTCTGGTCTGATGAATCTCAATTTCTGCTGAGGCACACAGATGACAAGGTCAGAATTTGGAGCCAACAACATGAATCCATGGACCCAACCTGCCTTATGTCAACAGTCCAGGCTGGTGGAGGTTGCGTAATGGAGTGGGGAATGTTTTCTTGGCACACTTTGGGCCCGTTAATACCAATCAATCATCGCTTGAATGCCACAGCCTATTTGAGTATTGTTGCTGACCATGTGCATCCCTTCATGGCTACAATTTACCATCCTCTTCTAACGGCTACTTCCAGCATGATAATGCACCATGTCTCAAAGCAAAAGTCGTCTCAAACTGGTTTGATGAACATGAGAATGAGTTCAATGTTCTTCAGTGGCCTTCCCAGTTACTGGATCTGAATCCAATAGAACACCTTTGGGATGCGGTAGAACGGGAGATTCTCAGCATGAACGTGCAGCTGAAAAATCTGCAGGAATTGTGTGATGCAATCATGTCAACATGGACCAGAACCTCAAAGGAATGTTTCCAACATCTTGTGGAATCCATGCCACGAATAATTGAGGCTGTTTTGCGAGCAAAGTACTAGAATAGTGTTCCTAATAAAGAACTTTGTGAGTGTATGTATAAGTTATTTAGTGTTAAGCATTTATAGTAGTTTATTGGCAATCCTGTTGCCAGTAAATTACTGTAAAATTTGCAGTCAATTTTTACAGTGCAGAGTCTATGTGTACTATCTTGTCTGGATGTTTGGATACTCTATGGCGGTCCCAACAGCAGGTGTGAGCCGTCTTCACAGAAGACAAAGCAGTATCTATTATGGATGCACCCCTCATATGCACACTTTATATGTATGGCTTGGATGGTAACAGCAGCAATTCCAGTAGTAAAACTAGGAAAGTTGCACCTTATCATGAAAGGATGATGATAAATTGTATTGTATAGTATTTTGGGTTAGCACATTGGGCCTGGAGTTCAAACAGGTCATCCTATGTGCTATATGGTGCACTTGAGCGATTCTCATCCTCTGTTAAGTATGGTATCAGTTGTCTGTTAGTGTCTGTTGAGGTGCTCTTACTGCTACACTCACTACTTGTCAGGGAAAAGAGCAAAAGGGAACACTAGACTAGTTCCAAAGGAAACCGCCCAGGCAGTCCTCCATTGAATCGCACAACCACAGTTACATATACTGCATAACCTGCAGTTTATGGAGGATAAAAGTGTAAATTATTCTGCTTACCTAAGAATAAGACTAATCCTATTTTTTACACTTTGTATTACTTTCCTTTAACAAGCATACATATAACAATACGTCATCTGGCACTTCCAGTCTATTCTGTAAATTGAACATGGATATTGATTTGTGTTTTTGTTCTGTATAATGAATGGCTAGGCCATATTACATCATATTACCAGGTTGGAGATAGATTTTTTTCCCCATCAGTATTACACCAGACTTAGCAAAGTAAAGAAAAAATAACAACATAAGAAAAAAGTTGAACTTCTTTACTGGATGATAAAAATATTCTCTAATTACTTTGTATGTTCCCCTCTGCCTTTAGAACTGCCTCTGGCATTTTTCATATCCTCTGAGGAGCTTTTGGTTTCTTTTAGTTGTAATGTTATGCTATCTGTTCTAACTTTGAAAGATATCATACACAGCCAACTCTAGATATTGAGGTCATGGCAATGACATTTTTTCTGAACAATTTTACTGTGCATTTTGCCTTGTGTTGTGGGTTATGTAAATGCATACACATTTTATTTTTAACATCTTGGAATTTTAGTCTTTTTTGTAGTTAAAAACTAAATTTTTTTTCTAGCTAAGTTCCTAAACAAAATCTCTGTTGCTCCTCTGCACTGCCTTCTTGGCAATTTTTTTTAGAGTTTTTTTTTTTTTTTTTTAGAGTTTCTTAGAGTTTTTTTTTTTCCTTTTTTTTATATCACAGTGGCACTGGCCTTGTACTTGGCTGAAGAGTGACTGTAGATATTAGAGTGACATACCCAGTTCTGTCTGCTTGTCCAGGGTTCCCGTATGAGAAGGTCCGAGAGCGCACACTCTACCTGCAGGTGCTGGATTATGACCGCTTCAGCAGGAACGACCCTATAGGAGAGGTGTCTATTCCACTAAACAAGGTGGAGCTGGGCCAACACCAGACTTTCTGGAAGGATCTGAAACCGTGCAGTGACGGCAGTGTGAGTGGCCTGACATGTAATGTGATGTTGATTAATTAGAGCTATAAATGTGTGAATTAATTATGTGCTTTATATGGAAATTAGGAGTTACGTAAAAGTGATAACATGCCCAAGTATAGGTTCTTCTTTTATATAGCATCATTCTTTGTGAACATGAGCATTGCAGTCCTGGTGTGATTATTCATAAGATGGATATTTGTGTGTGTTTGACTTGTAGGGGAGTCGAGGTGATCTGCTTGTGTCTCTGTGTTATAATCCTACGGCTAACACCATCACTGTCAACATAATAAAAGCACGCAACCTTAAAGCCATGGACATTGGAGGCACATCAGGTAAACATATGCCCAGTAATAAAGTAATAAACATGCATGGACTTACACTCTTCCTTCTCTCTTTTGTGTTTCATACACGACTCTTTCTCATTTTTGTGCTGGATTGTTTCGTCTGCACTTTTTTGTCCCCATCTTACAGACCTTAGTGTTCCTTCAAAACTCATCTACAGTCTTATGCATACTTTATAGCTCTCACAGCATCAAACACTAACAGCAAACCAGTCTCCTTTCCTCTTCTCTTCTCTTCACTGCTCATTCTGACACCATGTCAGACCGCTGTTCCACTTACACTCAGCTACGTCATTCTGCTTTCATAAACTTTGCCTGTTTATGAGGAGGAGGCAAGGCCATTGATTTCACAGAAAAATATAAAAAATGTAGCTGTAACAGAAGCTTCAGACGTGTGCCAGATGTGTGCTTTCAATCAAGTGTGAACATTTGCAGCACTTTTATTCTCTGATTATCTGCAGATCCCTATGTGAAGGTGTGGCTCATGCACAAAGACAAGCGTGTGGAGAAGAAAAAGACAATTACTATTAAGCGCTGCTTGAATCCCGTCTTTAATGAATCCTTCCCCTTTGACGTTCCTGCACACGTGCTCCGAGAAACCACCATTATCATCACTGTCATGGACAAGGACCGGCTGAGCCGTAACGATGTCATCGGCAAGGTACTTTTAAACTGATGGTGCTTTTTTTGGCCATGGATTGAGCTTTGGGCATTTTGTATGCTTTAGATGAATTATATTTACAGTATGTATTACTGTATAAATATATTTGTATTTGTGTGAATGATTTAGATATTCTTTGTTAATTATAATATCTGTAATAATAAAAGCCAATTTAGTCCTTGATGAAAGAACTACCCAGGAAAAATACATTTTAACTAACATTGGGCTGCTTTTCTCACAACATCTGGCAGCGTTGCTCATAGAACATATGCCATGAACAGCTACATCATTTGCCTCATGTCTAACAAAGAAATTCAATACACTTTTAAAGACTTTCCAATTTGCTAAATGGCCAGGGCCTGTTAGTAGGTGGTCCCAGGTGCAGGTTGCGTGATTAACTACAGCCTCAGTAATGTGAAGTTCAATGTCAGACAAGGTGTGAGGTCATATTGTGGTTACACCATGTCTTATTTGCACCGAGCCCCTTCACTCCCCATTTTGGATCATTTACTCAATTACTTTTTTCGCAGAGGTCTGAAAAAAGGTAGTTTGCTTTTTTTGGCTATGTCTCAAACCATATACTATCACACTAAATAGTATGTCATGACAGTTTGCAACTTTTGATACTAATGCTAGTAGGTGGAATACTATTTTTCATTCAGTCGTATTATTTAGTTCAGCAGTACACTAATGGTAATACACTAGTATGCTGGTTTAGTGTCTAGGTAAATTTTTTTGATGATTAATACTACTACAGTCTACTGCCACCTACTGCTGTGGAGAGTTATTGACTTTCACAATAACTCTCCATAGCAGTTATTGCTATGGGAAACTTTTCGAGTGAAACTTTTTGAGACATGAGGCAATTCTTCAAAGTCATCTTGGTGTGTCACAGCCCTTAGAGTGTAACATTGGCACAGAAATCCACAAACTAAGTCAGACATTTTGTGTGTGTGTGTGTGTGTGTGTGTGCGTGTGTGCGTGTTTGCGTGTGTTTGCCCCTGGGTCAGATCTATCTGTCATGGAAGAGCGGTCCAGCAGAGGTGAAGCACTGGAAAGACATGC